TTCAATAATCCCATATGTTATGTTATTCACTTTACTTCTCACTTTCTGGTGCACCCGGGTTACATTAACGAGTAATATGAGGACCAACTGTGTGTGTGTGTGTATATATATATATATATATATATATATATATATATATATATATATATATATATATATATATATATATATATATATATATATATATATATATATATATATATATATATATATATATATACACATTATATTACCCCGCAAAGCTTTTACACGGTTTCACTTTCTGCAATTTCTCAGGATTTTCATTTACGCTGTACCTTGCCAGAACCGACTTTCACTTTCGAGGTGCATCTACTCATATATGTGAAGTATAATTTTTTTTTTTTTTTTTTTATTTAGCTCATAAAATTCATACAAATTACCCGGCCAGAATATAATTTACATTGCTGGAATTCTTACAATATGATGATCATTTTGAATATAAACATCATGGATTTTGCATTAGAACATACACATTTTAGATCTAATGTAATAATTTGGTTTACACAAAGCAAATATTTTATCTTATTATATTCTCCCAGGTCAGTTCAGTGACATTTTATAAGCAAAAAACAAAAACTCACTCTAAAGGACATAAATAAATAAATAAATACTTCACTAGACCTTCGGCACCAACTGTCAAACACATCACCTCTCTCCCTCCCTCCCTCACCCCCCCCCCCTCCAGGGTTGGGTGGTTTTAGGCTTAAAGATCTTATCTTATATATTATCACAGACTAAAGTTAGGAGAATATAATTTGTATTGCTGGAGTCCTTGCAAGACAGAGAATAATTTGAATATAGACATCATATATTTTGCACAAGATAAAAATTAAGCACCTGTATCACATTACAGTAGTGATTTATGAGTTCTAGTGTATAAGTACGTATATATACTGTATATATATATGGTGAATTAAGGGCGATTTAGGAGTGTTTCTGACTTTACACGTTTTTTGGCTTTACGCGAGGTCCCAGGAACGTAACCTTCCATACGTTGCGAGTCTACTGTACAGTGGCCCCTCGGTTAACGAACTCAAATCGTTCCAGAGGGTCGTTTGTTAACCGAAACCATTGTTTCAATGGGATATTGGGTAATTGGTTCCAGCTCACAGAAAAGTATATACAAAGTACAGTATAGTCTCGATTTACGCGGATGGTCATTTACGCAGCACCTGGCCAGACCGGCAATTATTAGTTACGAGGTACATTCCATCATTTATGCGGGAAGCGGCGCGGGCAGGGTGCGCGCTAGGTCGCCCAGTCAACAAAACATTACAGAGTTCTTCACCCGCCACCCACCACAGCCAGCCCAAGTCAGTGATAGTGAGGATACGGACTTTGAAGGGTTTGACAAAGAGGCCCTGGAAGCCTCTGTGGTGGATAGTGATATAGGTGATACAGGTGAGGGCCAATAATCTACCCTCTGCCTCGGAACCAACCCCCCATCCCCGTGTGCCCAGCAATAAGCTTTGTATTTATACTTACGTGTATGTGGAATACTATATACGTATATATACACTCTTACTTTTAAATCACTACTGTAATGTGATACAGGTGTTTAATTTTTATCTCTTGTGCAAAATATATGACGTATATATTCAAATTATTCGCTGTCTTGCAAGGATTCCAATGCAAATTATATTCTCCTAACTTTAGTCTGTGACATTATATAAGATAAAAACTGTAAGCTTAAAACCCTGGGTGGGCAGATAGGGGAGAGGGAGGGAGGGAGGGAGGGAGGGAGGGAGGGAGGGAGGGGGAGGGAGGGAGGGAGGGAGGGAGGGAGGGGAACGGGAGGTGAGGTGGTACGTTTGACAGTTGGCGCCCAAGGTCTAACATGTGTTTATTTATCAGTCCTTAAGTGACTAAGCTTCTCTCTTATAAAAAGTCAGTGAAATGACCTGGGTGAATATAATTGACATTGCTGGGATTCTTGTAAGATAGTGATTAATTTGAATATAAACAAGCTATAATTTGCACTAGACATAACAATTTTAGTACCGTAATCAATTTAGTACAAGTACAATCCAGTTTTGCACTAAGGTCATTTATTTCTTTTATGTTTCTTATAGTATGACGTGTGCATGTAAATGGATGAAAATAAATGAAGAAATTTATGTAAATCTACACCAAAATACAGTTGAAAAACTTTACATTATAAACTGTACTACAGTACTGTACACTAATGTACTACAATTTTTATCTCTTGAGCAAAATATTTGACGTTTATATTCAAATTATTCGCTGTCTTGTAAGGATTCCAGCAATGCAAATTATATTCTCCTAACTTTAGTCTGAGATATTATATAAGATAAAAACTTCAAAGCCTAACAAAACCACCAAACTTTTATCTGGGAACACAAGGAGGGAGGGATAGTGTCTGGTGAAGTATAATTTGTTTATTTACTTGAGATTTTTGTTTTTTGCTCATAAAATTTATAGAAATTACCCGGCCAAAATATAATTTACATTGCTGGAATTCTTATAAGATAGTGATTAATTTGAATATAAACAAGCTGTAATTTGCATTAGTAATCATTTTGTACATTATTTTGTGTAAATGTACAGTACAGCTTTGCCCTTGGGACAGTGTGTGCATGTAAATGAGTTTCAATAAATGAATAAAGTTACATATATCAAGCCAAAAATAATAGTTGAAAAACTTTATGTAGACAGAGCTTGGATGGCTAAATTTTAGAATGACCAATATTTTTAATACAGTGGTCCCTTGGTTAACGAGCACAATTCGTTCTAGAAGGTTGCTCGTTAACCGAAAAATTCGTTAACTGAAACCATTGTTTCAATGGGTTTTTGGGTAATTGGTTCCAGCTCACCGAAAATTACATACAAACGAAAAATAAATGCAGTAAAGTACACTTACTTTGAGGTGTGCATGTAGAAGGCTCCTGGTTGATGATGATGATGATGGGAATTAGAATGGGGATGGAGGAGAAGGGAGAAGAGAAGGCATTGGGGTGGAAAAGAAGTCACCCCATGCGCCATTTCACCCATAAAATTTTAGTTCACTTGGTGTAATTCAAGATTATTTTCTTTAAATCAACACTGCACTGCATTATATATTATCAATATGTAAAATATATTTCAAAATGACCAATAATTTGACTGGAAACACAGAAAAAAAGCATTTATTTTGAAGAGTCTCAAACAATATGTTCCTTCCTCTGAACCTGTAAACAAACTGACGCCAAGCGTGGCTGTTTGGCACGCATAAAACTAGTTTCCTGTACTTCAATTATGTTCAAGAATTGTTAAAATGACTAAAAAATTTAATATAAAACTTTTAAAATAATTGAATAGTACAACCTTCTTGATATTTACTAAAATGGTAAGAAATTTAAGCCCTAGAACTGAATACTGCATTGGCGGCCTAATTCGACAGCTAGTGAGGAAGCGAAAACATATTGAGGGGCGCTCGTAAGGAATTCGTTAATCGAGGGATTGCTCGTTAACTGAAGTGAAGAATCTTATGGAAGGTAATTCGTTAACCGAAACTTCGTTATCCGAGGCGCTCGTTAACCGAGGGATCACTGTACTGTATAAAAAAATGCACAAATATTAAAGAGCAAAATTTTCTTGATATTTACTCCATTGGAAACAAATGTAAACATAGAAGAGATTACTGAATAGGCTGAGTACCTCCTCAGCTTATCAGCTGATGTTCAAAACAAAACGTGATTTTCGTAAAGATTTTGTTATTCAAATTTTTTTTCGTTAACCGAATTGAAGATTCTTATGGAAGGTAATTTGTTAACCGAAATTTCGTTAGCCGAGGCGTTCGTTAAGTGAGGGACCACTGTATAATAAATAATATTTGTACAGAGTATTAAAATACTTCTTGTAACTGGGTAGTGGAAAAAAAGTAAAGGTTGGTAAGACAGTCATTCCTTAATTTTCTTGTTACTATAACTAACTCAAGTTGCCCATAAGGTGAACGTTAGGCAAACACATAATCCATATGATTGATAATGGGCGTTTTGAGATCCTGTTTGCCTTGGCCATCACTCAGGATAAATATTAACCCTTAGGCCCCGGGTCACGTTCCAGAACGTCCGCCTATTCCCGCCATTTTTTTTTATTATTATTATTTTTGGAAGAGTTGATTTTTCTCGATTTATCCCCGCCCCCGGGGAGGGGGGTTGTTACTGCCAGCAGCACCCTAACCCGGGGCTTAAGGGTTAAACAAACCAAAGGCAACATTTTTATTCATTGTGATTTAAGGTCATGAGAAGTTTCCAAATGTTCGTATATTTGTTTAAATGATGAAAAAAATTTGATGTGAGAATCTTGTTGCAGCTATGGTTGTAGTTGAGTTGCTAATTCATTAATATAATTTTCTTCATTATTTAAGCAAATATACGAACATTTGTTAACTTCTCATGACCTTAAATCACAATGACTAGTTTATTAGTATAAAAATTCTACCTTTGGTTTGTTTAATATTTATCCTGACAATGATACAGCCGAAAACAGATCCACCAATCACAATCACCTTTACATACAGCCTTACTTTACCAAGTATTGCCAGGTAAAAGTGCGGGCACGTGACCCAGGGTGGGGTCGGTGCATCTTTGGCTGAAACACATACAGTACTGTATATAGAGGTGCTCCTCTACTTAAAAACGTTCACCTTACAAACTTTCAGAGAAACAAACATTATCACTGAGGAGGGGGTTACCTGCCAGAACAGGTGTTTCGAGTGGATGAGACTGGATTATTTTGAAGAAATATCCAGATAGAACAAACATTAACTAAGAGAAGAATGAGCCAGGTTTTAAGGCTGTATTAAAGGATATACCTGTACTAATTATCCATAATATTTTAATTTTTTACAATATGTTTGGTATCTTTAGGAGTAAAATTGGACTTACAAACAAGCCTCAGGAACGTAACTCGTTCGTAAGTAGAGGAGCACCTGTATTTTTGTGCTCAATACAGTAGAATGATTAGACAAAGATTACCTGAAACACTTGAATACGTGTGCCAGTTGTTGGAGCGTCCAAATGAATATCTCGAAAATGTAGTCTGTGGTCCACTATGAACTGTAAGACAAAAGCACACTTGGATCCAGAGGGAGTATTGTTATAGCAGTAATCCTGTTCTTCATTACTGAGTGGTGTCTGCATTTGAACAAGAGCTGCATCCATGGCTCCAAATACTCCGGGGAACCCTGAGTCATGCTTGATAACCTCAGCTATTGTTATCCTGCGGTAAAAACAGAAATGACTTGCAAACGAATGACAAGGCACAGAATTTAGTTTTACTGTATGACCAAAGGGTTGAAATAAATGAACTGCGAGATATACCTGGAAAAACCTGCAAAAGTTGTCTAGAGCATACATTACCTTGTACACAGATGGTCACATTACAGGGGCGGATCCAGGAATATCAAAGGGGGAAGGGCAAGAAGTTGTGGGTGGGGAAACATGGTGAGCACAGCGAGCCCACCCAGCTGGGGTGTTCTTTTTGGGGGGAGGAAGGGTGTTGTAAGCCTCCAGAATATTTTTTGGAAATCTGACCAATATCATGGGCATTTTGAGGCCATTTTGAAGCCAAGTACACTTGATATTGGGAGATATTTGGAAGTCAATAGTAATTACTTTTTACTATACAAAAATACATGAGTACAATACTGCATTAAAGAAAAAGTATTGAAATTTTCTGATAAAAAGAGGGTCTGGACCCCAAGAACCCCCTGGATCAGCCCCTACATTACCTACTTACACAATGGTGATGCTGCAAGTAGCCTCCTGGCTCAGCATAAAAACAATCTAAAAAAATTGGGCAAAGGATAACAAACGAGGAACTAAAAATTCTTCAACAATGTGACTTAACCATAGGCTGGCTTCAAATGTTAAAAAAAAAAAAGTGACTTTAGGCCATTGGAGATAAAACATGTCAGCACCAAGAGGTACAAAATGTTTGTGTGTTAACCACCACCAGGTGTTGTGACTCATCTTAGATGATGCTCCCTCATACAGTACATTGACAACAGTTTCCACACCTCCAAGCATTTCTTCACTTACATATTCCACACTTTCTGTACAGTATTTGTACATAATTATCACATGAAAAAAAGAAGAAAATATAATTTTGTTCAAGTCAGAATGAGACGCTCAGCATGTTACCTAGGTATGTTAAATCCTAGCTAACTCACCAGGCCAACATACAGGCAATTAAAACATCTTATAATTACTTAATAAGTAAAATTAGGAGGACACATCGCTACCTGGCATTTAATTGCAATTCTCAAAACCCCCTCCTTCACCCCCCCATCGCACGCACTGCCACCTTCATCTCTTGCCTTAGAGCAAGCAGTAAACAAAAGTAAATTCTCGAGGGGTGGAGATGGGTGGGTTATCGGCGTCGCATTCTGAGCTATATCACAAAAACTGGTTTTTAGAAATAAATGGCTTTTTGTTCAAGTCAGAATGCAACGCTCAGCATGAATATCAGAGCAGGAGGTGGAGAGGGAGGTGATTTTGCATACAAGGCTCCGCTGACTTAGGTCCAGATTATGTTATAAACCGTTAAAAGTATTTCAAAAATTAGGAACATTTACCGGAAGGTAAAATGTTAATTTACTCAAAAAGGATACTCACTTTATTCTGATGAGGAAGAAGGTCCTGGTTGTGGAGATTGATTGGGTGGGGGAGGGGAACCCAGCACCACCACATTTGAAGCATCTTTCAGAGATAGCTGTCTTTGAAAGTTTTTGAAGATCTCCAAAAGCCATTTCCTTGATCTGACTGAGACTCATATGCCGCAGAAAGGCCACAGACCCTGCCTATTTCCTTGTGTCATGTGCCAAAAATTTCTTGCCAGGGTCTGCTTGATTCACTAATTGAGATAAGGATTTTGTCATTTGACTAGAAGATAATTTCTTACCATCCCTTGATGAGAAAACATAGGGGCCTCGATTAGGGAATCTGGTTAACCATTCCTGAAGATTTTTAACAGGGCACAATATATGAGGAACCCTTCTCTCATCCATTAGCTGTTTTATCCTAGTAGGTTGAGCTTGAAAATCCTCCCTTTCATTTTTTCTTAGAATCTCCGTAGGAAAAAGGGGTGACATCTTCCTCAGAAAATACCAATAATGATGGATCATTGGAAATTGAAATCAGTTCACTGATTCTCATACCAATTGCTATTGCTAGAAGGAAGGCTACCTTCTGGAGCAATCTGTCCCGGTTCAGATTTATATTGTAATTAGGCCCCATAAGAAAATTAGTAACTTTTTCTAGAGACCAAGATGGGATTCTCTTAGACTGAGGGGGTCTCTGAATGAAAAAGGACGAACTGAGCATTTGATAAATCCTTGGGTTCAAAGTTATATTAAAACCTCATGCCAGAGGGTCAACCAATGCTGATTTATAAGATGCAATTGTCGATCCTTGAAGGCCTTTAACTCTGAACAGAAATTCTAAAAATTCTAACACAACTGTTTCCGACAATGTGTCTGGAGTCGTTGAAAAAGTTTCCAAGTTTTCTCATATTGCATAGAAGTTTGGGGTCTATGACCTGCTATTACTTGGTTAGCCATATTGGAATTACCCAACAATCTAATTAAACTTCTTTTGAGAAACTCCAAGCGTGAAGTGCCAAGGATATCTCGAACTCAGAATGCAGTACCTGGTCTACGCATCTCTGTTGCAATTGCAGTGGAAGCGGGCACCAGTTCAACAGATCCAGGCACCAAGATTGTAGGATCCAATAAGGTGCATTTAAGAGGAACTTGCCTTGGAAGGGTCTGAGTTTGTGAACCACTTTGGGCAAAATTTTCAGAGGTAGGAACAGATAGATTGAATTCCAACTGTTCCAATCTATGAGTAGAGCATTTCCTAAAAGATTCAATCATTCCAGAGATGCATAAAGTGGCATCTTGTGATTTTTAGGGAGGCAAAGAGATCTATTTTTGAACTCTGATACCTTTAGGGACCATTCTGTTTCAGTCGATACAGGCCTCAGATGGGACAACGCAACTGCCCAATTGTTTTGTACTCCTAGTATATGAGTTGCTTTGAGGTAAAGTGTTTGTGTTACACAAACTTTGAAAAATTTTTCTGACAGTTTTAGAAGGGGCTAAGATCTGGTCGAGCTTTGATGATTGAGACTAAACACTTCCGTTTTGTTGTCCATGGCAAACAGGATCGTCATATTTTTTAAATTTGGGTTTGCCAACAAAAAGAATAGGACTACTACTAATTCTTTTACGTTTATGTGTTTGTCCCAAAGGGGGTTACTCCACTTCCCTTGACTGAATTCCCCTTTTGAGGAATGGTATCCCCATCCTATTTCGGACGCATCCGTACAAATGACCAAATCTGTTTGAGGCGGAACCAAGGGAGAAGAACCGATTAAATTGTCCAAATTTGTCCACCATGACAGATGATTCTTGATCTGAATAGGGAGAGAAGAAGCAATATTTCTGCTTCTGTGAAGCAACTTCGAGCCCAGATGAGTTAGTTGCTTCTTCCTTAACTTTCCCAAAGGAATCACTATTGTGGCAAAATTCAACAGACTCAGTAGTTTTTCCCAATCGTGCCAAGAAACCTCTTGCTTTACACAAAAGGCTTCTACTTGGTTTATCACATCTGTTACTTTTGCTTCTGGTAGACTGACTGACTGCTGATTTGTATCCAACTGGAGACCTAACCAATCCAATTTCTGACATGGTATTAAATTTGATTTGACCTGGTTTATCTTTAATCCTAGGTTTTGAATTAGTACTAGTGTACATTAGGTCGCCCTTTGACAATCTTCGAAAGAGTTTCCCACTATCAGCCAATAGTCTAGATAAGCAAAAGTTCTGATGCCCTCCTTCGCAAGGATCTCTCTGGGGATGTTTGCCAGTTTTGTAAACACTTTTGGTGCAATTGTCAGGCTGAATGGCATCACTGTGAATTGATAAGTTACATCCCCTACTACGAACACTAGAAACTTTCTGTACCTGGGAGCAACAGGAAAATGATAATAGGCATCTTCGAGATCCACTTTTGAGATCCAAGCATTGGGCGGAAGTAGATGCCTCAGATGATCGTAAGAGAACATCTTGAAACTTTTTCTGGTAATAAACTAGTTCAGGACTGAAAGAACTAAACTCCACCTCAATTTGTCGCTGCCTTTCTTGGGGACTGGGAATAGGCGAGACATGAAACATTTCTCTGACTGCAACAGTTCTATTACACCTCTGTGTAACAGTTGAATTACAAATTCTGTGAGTATGGTGGTTGGTTTTTTACCCCTTTTTGGTAACGCTAGGGGAGGGCGCCTCAACCAAGTCCATGTGAGGCCTCCTTTGATTGTCTTGTAAGCCCATATGGAAGAAGTCCACCTGTTTTCCCAACCCCCTAGACGACCCAGCTGTCTGGCTTCATTGGGAGGGAGTGGTCGCTATTGTGGTGGAATAAGGTCTCCTTCCACTGCTGAACAAACGGCCACACTACTATGTCTTGGATTGTTTCCTCCTCTAAAGCTTCCTCTAGGTTGATAACTGAGCCTAGCAGCTGGTCCTGTTCCCTTGAGAAACCTTCCTCCTTTAGATTTCCGAAAGGTCTTAGGACCCCTGGGAACAGTAATATTAATAGCTTGCTCAACAGCTGATCTATACTTAACTAATGTTTGTTCATCAAACAAAGCAGGAGAAAGAGGGGAAGAACGTAGCAATAAATAAGCACTACCACTTGAAGCATTATTTGTGACTTACTTCCTTAGTTGGGCTTTTAGTTTTAGGGCTTTCAACAACATTTCCAAAAACGAGTTGCACAGGGAATATGAAATCCCTTGTATAGCAGCAGGAAAACATTTGTCCGCTTCTGAATTTTCCTCATAGTCCAGCACAAACTTAGTCAATAACTGACACATCATGATTGCGGCCCAAATATCTGCTGCTAATTTCCTAATTTTAAATTCTTCAAGCAACAGTGCAGGAGCAACTGGTTTCAAATTTCTTTCATAACTTATACAGTAAAAGTCCAAAAATCCGGATGCCAGAAATCCGGACCACCCGAGAATCCGGACTTTTGGAAAACTTATTATTATTATTATTATTATTATTATTATTTTTTATTTTTTAGCGGGCTTTTGTGTGTATGTGCGCATGCGTGAGCACCACAGCTGCACAGCGACAACAAGCGACCACGTGGTCTCCACTTTAAAACGAGCAATCAAACTGTGACAACATACCGTATATACTCATCTAT